TAGGTAATTCCACGGGTTTATTATACTATAAGTGAAAAAAACACCTGTTTTTGTCCTACATTTTGTTTTAAACTTGAAGCTGTTAAGCCTTTAAAAAGTTACTTTGAATCTTAAAAGAAATGTGTGTGTGTGTGTACTCGCCTAATTGCGCTTGCGGGGGTTGAGCTCTGGCTCTTTGGTCCCGCCTCTCGACCGTCAATCAACAGGTGTACAGGTTCCCTGAGCCTATTGGGATCTATCATATCTACACTTGAAACTGTGTATGGAGTCGGCCTCCACCACATCACTTCCTAAGTGTGTGTGTGCGTGCGTGTGTGTGTGTGCGTGTGTGCGTGTGTGCGTGCGTGTGCGTGCGTGTGCGTGCGCGTGTGCGTGTGCGTGTGCGTGTGCGTGTGCGTGTGCGTGTGCGCGCGTGTGTGTGTGTGTGCGCGCGTGTGTGTGTGTGTGTGTGTGCGCGTGTGTGCGTGCGTGTGTGTGTGCGCGTGTGTGTACTTACCTCACTATGCGAAGAGTGCTCACGGGTGCGTGTAATTACATAAGTATAATTATCAAACTGCAGTTACAAGGAGAGAACTGTGCTCGTGGAGCCCTGGCTGCCTTATAATGGTAGTTATGGAGAGAGAGAGCAGCTCCCTGTCAACCCAACATGTCTATAAATAGCTTGAAAACGGTAAAATACATTTAATAACGCCAATATGTAAATAACTTAATTTCTGTGTTCACCTAGCAGTAAATAGGTACCTGGGAATTACTCAACTGTTGTAGAGTTGCATCCTGGGGGAAGATCAGTAGTTAGACCTGGGGGGGGGGAAGAGGGGAACTCGATACAAGCCTGAAGTATAGTCATATATTCATATATATCATGAATATATATATTTATATATGATGTAATATATATATGTTATATAACATCATATGTATATGATATATATGCATATATATATATATATATATATATATATATATATATATATATATGCATATATGATAGTGATATATATGTATATGCTAGTGATATATATATGTGTGATATATATGTATCATTAACAACTCTACATGACCCGGCGAGGATTGGAGTCCATGAGGTGTAGGATCACCCCAAAACGTACACAGTACCGTGACTACCTCACCATCACGGTAGCTGTGTACGTTTGGGGGCGATCCAGGACGTCATGGGTTCGAATCCTGGCCGGGTCATACACAGTTCTGAGTGACCAATGGCTTGCGCGTCCATACAACCTTCCTCGCATGTCCTGCACCCCGTTCTCTCCACTTGCCACTCCGTAAAAAATGCAACTGTTGTGCCCAGCCAGGAACGTACTGACCCAAGCATCCCACCTAACCTACAAAGGCAGATGCATAGAAAACGTCAATACATAGTGCTTTAATTTGGACCAGATCATCGCTTGTGTTAACGGATTGGTCTATTCCGATAAAAAAACGACGTATTAGGAGAGCGGATTGGTCGGACTTGCGTTTGAACGCATCTTGGGAGCCTTTTTTTCTCATTACCTGAAGACGGGACTTTTATAAAGCTGCCCGCTTTCTGTCCCCATCGAGGCCACTAGAGACTGTAGCTGTTAGGTAAAGCCAGGTAAAATTCGTGTATTACCGTTTAATTACATTTTAAGTTTAGTGTGACTGGTCATTCAGCCTGTTGTTGCTCCTGCTGGTGTGGCAGAGTGCTCCACCAGTGTCCTCTCGCTCATACTGATGCTCTCTTGTATTCTCCTCTGTTTATCTTTTTTTCTTCATTGTCTCCTGTGTCTCGTAATCCTGTAGTGTTTTCCTTCCCCTGCTCCTATGTGAGTGGCTGGACGCGAGATGAGTGCCTCGTATATTATGGTACTAAACTGTAAGTGTAAACACTGTAATATAATCCTTGTATATTTGTTTACCAATTTCAGTTGTTGTTATTGCTAGTTAGGTTATCTAGGGTTTTATTTCCTGCTTTAATTTATTGTCTGTTAATCTACAAGATGTGATTTAATCCGCTGAAGGGTGTGTGTGTGTGTGTGTACTCACCTAGTTGTGTTTGCGGGGGTTGAGCTCTGGCTCTTTGGTCCCGCCTCTCAACCGTCAATTAATGTGTGTGTGTGTGTGTGTGTGTGTGTGTGTGTGTGTGTGTGTGTGTGTGTGTGTGTGTGTGTGTGTGTGTGTGTGTGTGTGTGTGTGTGTCTGCGTGTGTGTCTGCGTGTGTGTCCGCGTGTGTGTCCGTCCGTCCGTGCGTCTTGTCTGGGTTCCTTCACCCCGACACACTTGGCTAAGCGCGCCACACTACCTCCCTCACACCTCCTCGCCAAGCTTACCCCACCTCACACCTCCCTCACCGGCCTCCCTCCCCTCACACCTCCCTCACCGGCCTCCCTCCCCTCACACCTCCCTCACACCTCCCTCACCGGCCTCCCTCACCAGCCTCCCTCACCAGCCTCCCTCACCAGTCTCCCTCACCAGCCTCATGAGCACCGACACTACCACACGGGGCAGGAGCTTCAACAAGCCACAATGTAGGACAGAACACGGGAGAAGCGTGTCCACTCAAAGGGTAATAAACTCTTTCCCGCCCAACCCCCTGAACATCTACACATTACTCCAGTTCAAAATCCATCTGGAAAATGTTCTCCAGATGATGCCCTCCAGTATATTTATCACTCACCATATTCAACATGATCATTGTTGACTCGTTAGTAATCCTCACCACTACCACAGACCAAGATCACTATAGAATGCCGTGAACACCATCACTGTGACTTCAACTTGAGATATTCCAAATTTGGCTTCCTGATGGCAATATTGAGCCCCTCCCATTCCCCCTCCAGTCTTCCCCCCCTCCTCCCTTCTCCCCCTCTCCAGGCCCCCCCCGTCACCCACCCACCCAGTACCCAAGGCCCGCGTCTCTCCTAACTGTTCATTACAGAAGTCGTACACCTGTACGTTGGCCGGCGCACTTGTGTCGCGGCCTTGTACACCTGGACTGGATCTTGTACGTCTGTATAGGGTCCTTGTACACACGACGAAACGTATTCCTTTACCCTCACTGTCAGGGAAAGTGCAGAGTGGCAACGCCGCGTTTGTTGTTGTTGTAGTAATGGATTAGGTTATGAATGAATAGGCACTTTGTAACGACGAGTCTCATTGGTCAAAACACCACACACCGGGTTATATAATTCACACTCCTGTCGAAAGGAAAATTTTATTAACTGTTGAGCAGTTAATAAAAATTAATATGAGAGAGAGAGAGAGAGAGAGAGAGAGAGAGAGAGAGAGAGAGAGAGAGAGAGAGAGAGAGAGAGAGAGAGAGAGAGAGAGAGAGAGAGATAGAGAGAGATAGAGAGATAGAGAGATAGATAGATAGATATAGAGAGATATAGATATATAGAGATATATATATAGAGATATATAGAGATATAGAGAGATATATAGAGATATATAGAGAGATATAGAGAGATATAGAGATATAGATATATAGAGAGATATAGAGAGATATAGATATAGAGAGATATATATATAGAGATATAGAGAGATATATAGAGATATATATAGAGAGATATAGAGAGATATAGAGAGATATAGAGAGATATAGAGAGATATAGAGAGATATAGAGATATAGAGAGATATAGAGAGATATATATATAGAGATATATATATAGAGAGATATAGAGAGATATAGAGAGATATATATAGAGATATAGATATAGAGATATATATATAGAGATATAGAGAGATATAGAGAGATAGAGATATAGAGAGATATATATAGAGATATATATATAGAGATATATAGAGATAGATATATATATAGAGATATATAGATATATATATATATATATATATATATATATATATATATATATATAGATATATGACTATATTTTTTGGGCTTGAGCTTTTATGTAAACGATATGAGGTACGATGACTTTACGTATTGGCATTAGACTGTTGAGGCAGATGATGTGACGTCACACACACAACGATTGTCGTTGTCGATTGTCCTCGATTGTCGTTGGCCGCCAATCAACGACAACACAGTTTAGTTCATTTATTATGTACCCCATACCCATCCTGTGGGCGGTAGTGGACCCCCAAACCACCAGTCCCTAGTTAACTAAACTCCACCCCACTGGTGGAGGGGTGGGGTGGGGGAGGTTCAGCCCCTACTGGTAGGGACCCCAAAATTCAATTAGCTAAGCTAGTTACAGTTTTGATGTGCTAGCTAGTTACTAGGTTGAAGGCACATCGTCACATCAACAATGGGTTGGAGACCGCCCACAATTAGTCTCTAAATGAAGCCACTGACATAAGTGGGGGAACTAGTGTGACAGTTGATGTGTTTACCCTGCACACCGCCCCTTAACCATTGGGCAAGGGAGGAAAGGTTACAATCGCTCCCCGTTACTACCTACAGTTAGCAAACTGGGGATATTGGACACAAATTTCTGGTAGCAGATCATTAAAAAAAGTTTTGACGGATTGGTCGATTGGGTTAAAATGTGATGTTTCAGATGGTAGACTGTTGCTCCGAGGACCGGACTGTCATCTGGAGAGTCACTGGGAAGACAGTCCGGTCCACGGAGCACAACAGTCCTCTACCAATCGACCAATCCGTCAAAACTGTTGTTTCAGTCAAATCGTAAGTACCGTAATATTGACGATTTCAGAGCATTGGTATTATTTCAGCCCGGGTTCTCAAGCGCTCACAACCTCACTAAACAGATGTACTAAATTGATGGAACATTACCTAACCGTGGACCCACGAATAGAAAACGGGATATCAGGTCAAATTTGCGGGTTACTATGATTTTTAGTACATAAATTTTTGGCTTAAGGGGATTTATAAGTCAAAATACGATGTACTATTGGAGACTGAATCTGACTATAATTTTTATCTTGACCTATACAATATTACAGTGAGGAACAGTGAGCTACACAATATTACAGTGAGGAAAAGTGAGCTACACAATATTACAGTGACCAAGAGTAACCACGTATCTCTCAACAGGATGTGAACGTACAGAAGCAGATGGAGATGGTTCACCGGCTGGAGGAGGACGACCTGTATAAGAAGTTCGCCAAGCAGCGGGCGGCTGAGGAGGCCAGGATGGACGACCACCTGAAGGAGGAGTGGGAGACGGAGCTCGAGAGACTTACCACACAGTGAGTCGCCTATTGTTGTTTAAGATTCGCTACCTGGAACAAAAAGTTTCAAGTAGCACGGGCTATGGTGAGCCCGAACAGTGAGTCGCCTCTCTTCCCTTCTCCTCTCATATTTCCTGGGCCCAGTTTTATATTGACATTGTGTCTTGACTCGTCAGACGAGATCCTGCATTGCTTTTATCGTCACAATTATTATTATAAGCGCAGCAAATATATCTGTTTCTCAAGTAAAGTCAAATTAACTGTTCGGCCATTGTCAATATGATTTAGTGACAACGCATGAGTTGGTAGGTTAGCCATGACTGGACCCGTGTGTCGTGACACTGTGGCAGGACCCGTGTGTCGTGACACTGTGGCAGGACCCGTGTGTCGTGACACTGTGGCAGGACCCGTGTGTCGTGACACTGTGGCAGGACCCGTGTGTCGTGACACTGTGGCAGGACCCGTGTGTCGTGACACTGTGGCAGGACCCGTGTGTCGTGACACTGACTACACCTCACTACTACACTTTCAACTCGTCACTTGGCAGCAAAATAGGCACCCAAGAGAGAGACAATTGTCGTAGTCTACATCCTGCGGAAGGTAGAGACCCAGCCGAGGAAGACCTCAATAAACCCAGATGAAGCTTTCCTGTCTCTAACAGGAATATAATGTAACCTCAACATTGCGGTTACGTTGTGTTAGGCTGCTTTAAAAACAAAGTTGGGGCCTCACACTCGAGACGCGGAAGACACCAATACTGTTGCAACTAACGAGACGTTTTTCCTCAGGTTTGAGCGGGACCTGGCGACGAAGAAGCGGTCCCGGGAGGAGTCGAAGGTGCTGACGGTGAGGCACCAGAAGGAGCGGGAGGAACTGGAGAAAAACATGACCATGAAGAGGGACATGAAGAAGGAGAATCTCACCCGCAAGATGCTGGAGCACGAGAGGTCCGTCACTGGGATAGGCTCACAGGATAGGCTGTACACGGCAGACCATAAGTGAAGGGCCTGTAGGGCAGGCTCCGTGAAGACAGGGTTTACTGGACCAGGTTTAAAGGGACAAGGTCTACATGAGAGGGTATACAGTATGAGAAGGCGAGGGAATTTTCAGGCGAAAGCGCCAAGCTAATACAACTATATAGCAATTGAAAGGGATCAGGATAACGATTTAGGATGGGACGGGGGAGAGGAATAGTGCCCATGCCCTTGGACGGTCGGGGATTGAACGCCGACCTTCATGAAGCGAAACAGTCGCTCTACCGTCCAGCCCAAGTAGTTGTATAGAGTACGAGAGCTACAATATAGCAGTTACTATGCAAGATAGGAGATAGAGAACAGGCAACTGGCCTGGAGGATAGCTACAAGAGGCTCTACAGGGGAGCTCTATAGAATATGAGCAATAGGAAAGGAGAAACAAAATAAGAGGTACATGCTAAGAGGAAGACGTGGATATGAGATACAGAACACAATCTACATTATAGCTGTTACAAGATATGAACAGTAGGAAAGACGCTAACACATCTTAACAGTAGAATAGAGGTAGACAGGGTAGTGAGGTGAGGGAGTGACGGGGGTAAACAGGAGGATAGGGTAGTGAGAGGGAGAGCACAATAAGGGTGATGATGAGGGAGAAAAGGGGGGGGGGAGGGAGCCAAGAGAGACTGAGGATGGTACTAATGAGGGAGGAGATGGGTGGATGAGGAGAGTACTAAGGGGAAGAGAAAGATCACATTAATGGGAGAAAGACAAGAAGAAGGGAGAGAATAGGCCTGGGGGGAATAAATAGGACGAGTGGGAGGGGAGGTGAAGACAATGATGATAGGTTGTGAAGGAGGAAATAGTCAGGTTATGTTTGGTGTGTTGATGACAGACTGCACCAGTGCCGCTGACAGACTGCACCAGTGCCGCTGACACACAACAATGAACGGAGGGTTGAGAATTTGATGTCATAAATATCCGTAGAGCATTTGTTATTTTTGGGCAGCAGGGATGGCAGAGATTGGCACGTGGAGGGAGGACACAGATGTGAGGCGAGGTATGTTAAAGCATGACAGATCAACAAAGAGGGCGGTGACTGGGGAAACACGTGCCGTACATACCCCATAATTAATGAGAAAGGCTTAGAAAGTGAGAATGAGAAGTGATACAAGTTTATGTTGGGCAGGGCGGCGACGGCGGCGCTGGTGGAGAAGCACAGCAAGGAGATGATGCGACTCATCCAGGAGAAGCGGTCAGAGTACCTGGAGGAAGAGGAGGAGGAGGAGGCCCTGGAGCACTACCCGGCCCAGCCCCCTCCACCCCTCCCCCCGCCACAGACCAAGACAGACATCTACACAGATCCTGATGAGTTTGCTGAGGTAGATCAGCTGGCTATACAGGTGAGAGACTACTCTACACTGTTTAGTTTACCCTGTGTTACATGTGGCCATTTGTTGTGATGATTGTATGTTGTCCCCCAGCTCCCACCACTGGCAGAGTATACTGGGGTATGTTGTCCCCCAGCTCCCACCACTGGCAGAGTATACTGGGGTATGTTGTCCCCCAGCTCCCACCACTGGCAGAGTATACTGGGGTATGTTGTCCCCCAGCTCCCACCACTGGCAGAGTATACTGGGGTATGTTGTCTCCCAGCTCCCACCACTGGCAGAGTATACTGGGGTATGTTGTCCCCCAGCTCCCACCACAGGCAGAGTATACTGGGGTATGTTGTCTCCCAGCTCCCACCACAGGCAGAGTATACTGGGGTATGTTGTCCCCCAGCTCCCACCACTGGCAGAGTATACTGGGGTATGTTGTCCCCCAGCTCCCACCACAGGCAGAGTATACTGGGGTATGTTGTCCCCCAGCTCCCACCACAGGCAGAGTATACTGGGGTATGTTGTCCCCCAGCTCCCACCACAGGCAGAGTATACTGGGGTATGTTGTCTCCCAGCTCCCACCACAGGCAGAGTATACTGGGGTATGTTGTCCCCCAGCTCCCACCACAGGCAGAGTATACTGGGGTATGTTGTCCCCCAGCTCCCACCACAGGCAGAGTATACTGGGGTATGTTGTCTCCCAGCTCCCACCACAGGCAGAGTATACTGGGGTATGTTGTCCCCCACCTCCCACCACTGGCAGAGAATATCTTCATGTTTTATTGAATAATATTACGGTTAACAGGTGGCGCAGGAGGACCAGAAGACATTCACAGACCTGGTGAGGATGCTGGTGGGGCAGTGCAGCTCCGACGTGGAGAAGGTGCGGACCATCTTCCGCTGGATCACCGTCAAGAATCTCAACTCCATTACCTTCGACGACTCTGCTCATGGGGACACGCCCATGGGTCTCCTTCGGGGCATTAAGTACGGCACAGAGTCCTACCACGTTCTCTTCAAGCGGCTCTGTAGGTAAGTTCTTAAAAACTATCTTCTAGTGGACTCTTGTGCCCCTGTAGACTAAGTGAGTATTGTACCTGCATCTTGGACTCTTGCAACTCTGTAGAAGAATCCTTTGGAACTCTTTCTTGAGAGTCTTGAGGCTGTAGGCAAGTCTTGTTGTACTCACCGAGTTTTACTTTTTAAGAGTTCAGTATTGGTCTGTATACTCTAGAATAGACATACATTCATTTGAATTCGTGCAGAAAGGGATGACAAAGCTGGTCTTGGAAACTGGAAGCCTTCCTTACGAAGAGGTTACAAGGACACAAACCTGCAAAGAATATTGCCAAAAAACAGCAAACAGCCCATACCAGGCATTAGAGGACAGGCAGCCGGAAGACTGATTTGACCCACCCACCAGATCCAGCCTGCCGGGCTGCTGACCCAGAGACAAGAACCGGACATACCTTACCTTGCGAATGACTTCGGGGCTCAACGGCCCCGACCAGGCTTCCAATACATGCATTGAATACACACACACGATCTTGAAGATCGATGCCTGACTATGCTGTAGTGCTGACAGCGCGGAGCTTCAATGTGCCTTTAAGGTGGCACTACACGGCAGCTCTGAAATGAACATTACATAACTTTACAGCATAATTTTATTAAACTTTTTAAAATGTATCTATTAAAACTTTTGCATTTCAGATTACAACCTGCCAATGTGAGACTGTGTATAATTTTAATATATATTTTAAATCTTTTAAAATAGCATAAAACATTGCTTTGAAAATGATTATTAATATTCCTATTGTGGTTCAGTTTCGTTTTAGCAATAATTAGCTTTACCAGAAGTTTACATTTCAAACAAGATATTTTCATATTAATAAAATAAGAAATTAAAATAATTAATTTAGCAATATATATATATATATATATATATATATATATATATATATATATATATATATATATATATATAGACCAAATATACAGTATTTTGTGTTTATAATATATTGTGTGAATATGTACTAGTCACGATAACCTTTATAATCATCATAACGACCATCATTGCAGTTCACAATTTTGTCACCATTAATGCTCTTTGACTGCATATTGAGCCTCAACATTATTGTAAAACATTTGACGTGTGAGTGTTGGTCCACAGCTACGCGGGTCTGCACTGTGTGGTGATCAAGGGCTACAGCAAGTCCGCAGGCTACCAGCCCGGGGTCAGGTTCGAGGACAACAGATTCCGTAACTCGTGGAATGCCGTGTACGTGGCAGGGTCGTGGCGTTTTGTGCAGTGCAACTGGGGCGCCCGACACCTGGTCAACGCCAAGGAGGTGCCCAAGCCTGGGGGCAAGAGCAAGAGTGACAGTCTCAGGTGAGTTGTGTAGTGGGCAGGGGAAGGTGTCAGCGCCGGGAAAGTGATAAGGGGGGAAGTGAGAGATTGTCTAGAAAAGCGTGATGAACCAGGTAGAAAGGGCGGTGGGAGGGGAGGGGGTTATTGGGAGGCTAAATGGTTAATTGTTTTTATTCTTATTCATGTGAGTACTTGCATAGTAGGATGATTGCAGGTATGTATGGCTGGAAGGTTGCACGTATGTATAATTTGGAGATTTGGATTTGATAGGATGATCGAGTTTCGAAGGACTTGTATCATTATACGAGTGATGTATGTGTTTAGCTCAAATGATTTTAAATGTTCTGTTAAGAAGGCTCTGTCAAGTCATAGGAGGTGGTCCGAGGCCTCTGTTGGTACACAAAGCCCTGGGCGAGTCTTGACCTGGCAAGATTACCCAAGACAGATAATCTTGCAACTTATCACACATTCCAGATGTGAGGAGACTTGTGTGTGTACATCAGCCGATTCAATGTTGAATCAATGTCGATAAAATGATTCACTAGCACCATTTAGTGTCGCCAATGCTTACATCTCCAAATTGTTTTCATGAAACGCCTGCTGCTGCACCACCATCATCAATGCGGAAATCAACACATCCCAGCCAAACGCTCCATTACCATCCTTAGCAAATTTATGAATAACATCAACGCCAGGAGCATACTCAACACGGGGCTCAACTCTTGAATTGGCGGCTTAGTACTGGTAGTAATCAGTTGGGGGCAGCCTCCCAGCCTCGTAGTAAGGCCCTGTTGCAAATGCATTCTCATGGGGAATACTTCTGAAAACTGCCGGCAAGATCTGGAGTGTAATTATTGCCACGGAAGTTGGCATCAGGTTGATGCTTGTCAAACCAAAAAGGATTTGGATAGACAAGAACAAATGTCGAGACCTAATCATGGAGCAATAAAAAATATTCGGATTTGGTAGACATCGGCAATCTTGCCATCCATATCTGAACACTTCATTAATCTTTGTGCTTTACTCAGCACAACAGATTAACACACTACTAGTGTACCAGCTACGAAGGCAGTCATTACACACTCGCCTGTCTAGTTTAACAACTTGCAAACATGAGAAGTTAATCCATTAGTATAATGTCAGCCAACATCAGGGGTTTATTACCAATGTTGGCGATCTCTCTCTCCCATTTCTTACTCATTGTCCTGATGTGGTTGTTGTGCTGGAAACATTTCTAGACGACATGATTCCAGAGAACTTCAAAATTTTCAAAAATCCCAGAACCTCTATTTTTATGTTCAATGTACAGATCTCAATGGTAGTGTGCTTAATCATCCAACTTTCTAATGGACAACCTAGACTCCTTACTAATGCGTCATAACTGGCAGCACACACAAGTGTTGAACCTATCCACTAACTCGTACAGAGAGATTTTGATGAACTTAGGGTTTTCAACCTCAAATTTTGTGAGCTTCCTGTCATAACTGACCTTCCTGCAAACATAGTTAAATGAAGACCCCTGGGATATGTTGGTTCATTAGACCTGTCTTTACTATACTGGATATTCCGGCAGATTGAGGTGAAGAATCTCCTCCAACAACCTAGCTTTGGGACGGGAAACTGGCCAGCCCTCCGCTCAAACACTAGAAGCAACTAAATGGAATGCATTGCTCCACGAAGATGCAGCCAAGCAAACGTCTTCACCAGTCATACTGGACCTCTAGCACAGGTCCAGTATATAATCTTCACCGGCAGTATGTGGCCAAGTCTACTGATCAGCCTTGGTTTGGTTATCTTTGCCGGATGGCAGCAGAGGCTAAAAACAAGGCTTGGAGAAGGTTTCAAAGGCATCTTTCGGCTCACAACAGGATAGATGAATTTGTCACAAAGCGGTTCAAAAGTGAGCTATATTCAGATTGGAATCAGAAACTCAAAACTAAGCTTGCATCTGGAAGAGTTGGATAAAAGGTCTGGTGATCTCTGGTTAAAGATCGGCAGGGATATTCATCTGAGGACACAATCCCAACTCTAAATCGAGAGGATAGAACTGTTGCAATCAGGAGGAGGGTGACCCACTGGCAAACCATTTTGCTGCAAAGATGCACGTCCCTGATCCTGAATGACAATATCCACACATTGTTCCGAGCACTGCATCAAAGATGACTGAAGGGGTTATACAAGAGGCTCAAGTTCATCATCTCCTTATAACATTCTACATGGGTAAAGCTGTGGGGGCAGACAAGATCAGCTCAAGATTATTATATAGCCTCTACCAACCTCTGTCTAGCTCAAGGAATTTGGCTCTCCCTATAGGAGGAGGCAGATGTTCTAGTACACAAGAGAAGAGCCGTTCAGTGGTCGAGAATTACAGGTCAATGTCACTGCATTCAATTACTGGTAACATTCTTGACATTAATTTCTCGGCAAATGACATATTTTGACCAGTGGCTTCTATGTGATCAACAATGTTTTTTTTAAAAAGGTCCATCTTGCTAAATCTTCCACTAAGTGGTATCAGTTGACTGATGTTGAATTAGTTATCCATGTGATTCTTTTGGGCTTGGAAATTGTAGCCACTGGAATGAAGAAATTCCTATGGTTAATGAAAGTGTCAAAGTGTGGGTTACTTGCTGCAAGATAAGAATGTTGAGATCATCCCCAGCTATCAGATTTGATTTAATTTGCAGCAAATTACTCAATTTCTGAGGCAATTTAAATCTTGTGTAAATATTTGGGATTCTTTACACTTCTGCCATTGTTTTTGTAACGTATAAATTGATAAATTGGGCAAACATGTTCTCAAATTAGTTCTGTCTTGTTGATAGTTTAATCCCTGGTTAGGTGTGCAGGAGTAAATAGCCGTATACTTGATCAACTTTCCCAGTTAAGCCCATCTTGTTTACTTACCCTCGTCATACTTTTCTCACTCTTCACCCCTCACACTTCAAATTGATCACCTTCCCCCTCCCCATACAGTCCTGTCATTCCTACTTAATCACTTTACCCTCTATACACACTCGACTCATTCACACACTGCTCCCTCACTGGTGCTACATAGCCTTACTGGCTTGATGCGTTTTTTTGATAATTACTTTACTGCTCCCTCTCTCCCTCATAGGTATGAGTATGACGACCACTACTTCTTGACGGATCCAAAGGAGTTTATCTACGAGTTCTTCCCACTACAACCAGAGTGGCAGCTGTTGAAGGCAGCCATCAGCCTCCACGAGTTTGAGGAGCTTCCCTTCGTGCGGTCCCTCTTCTTCCGCTATGGCCTCTACTTCCCGGACGAGCACACGAAGGCGGTCATGTACACCGACTCTACAGGTGGGTGGGTGCAGGTGTACAGGTGGTGTCCCCGGGTGGGTGCAGGTGTACAGGTGGTGTCCCCGGGTGGGTGCAGGTGTACAGGTGGTGTCCCCGGGTGGGTGCAGGTGTACAGGTGGTGTCCCCTGGAGTGTGTACTGTAGCAGCAGGTGGTGTCCCCTGGAGTGTGTACTGTAGCAGCAGGTGGTGTCCCCTGGAGTGTGTACTGTAGCAGCAGGTGGTGTCCCCTGGAGAGTGTACTGTAGCAGCAGGTGGTGTCCCCTGGAGAGAGTAATGTAGCAGCAGGTGGTGTCCCCTGGAGAGAGTACTGTAGCAGCAGGTGGTGTCCCCTGGAGAGTGTACTGTAGCAGCAGGTGGTGTCCCCTGGAGAGAGTACTGTAGCAGCAGGTGGTGTCCCCTGGAGAGTGTACTGTAGCAGCAGGTGGTGTCCCCTGGAGAGTGTACTGTAGCAGCAGGTGGTGTCCCCTGGAGAGTGTACTGTAGCAGCAGGTGGTGTCCCCTGGAGAGTGTACTGTAGCAGCAGGTGGTGTCCCCTGGAGAGTGTACTGTAGCAGCAGGTGGTGTCCCCTGGAGAGTGTACTGTAGCAGCAGGTGGTGTCCCCTGGAGAGTGTACTGTAGCAGCAGGTGGTGTCCCCTGGAGAGTGTACTGTAGCAGCAGGTGGTGTCCCCTGGAGAGTGTACTGTAGCAGCAGGTGGTGTCCCCTGGAGAGTGATGAGTAAAGTGAAGGACAATTAATGAATTGGCGTGTTCATGCATGTGTGTGGGAGTGGAGGGGTGTAGTGTGTGTGTGTGTGCCCCTGGTGGGTGTGAGGGATGTAGAGTGTAGCTGACAATGTGTGTACATCTCCCAGGTGCCGCTACCATAAGGATTGGGATGCCGAGCCATATGCAGTCCTCCCTCATCTTCCACTACAACCTGAAGCTCTACGACTCAGACAAGGACCAGTACGACACCGTCTCCCTCAAGCGTTTCGTCATGCAGGTCAGTTGAACACTCAACACCTGACTTCTATGACAGCCACAAATATTTTCAATCTTACTGGGAATGAAGATAATTATCATGAGACTCTAGCAGATGGTTATTTCACAGTACATACACATTATTATATGCTCTGATGAACATTTTGGCATAGTTGTGGCAGTTAATGTAGTTTTGTGCACCTTGTAGAGTGCCCCCCCCCTGTCACAAGTGAACGTAATTATACCCGAGGAAGTGAACCATATAATTGAAAGTACAACATTTTAATGATAATAATCGGAGAATTATGTGAATAACTAACCCTCGTCTTACCTAAAGAGGGTGGATACTTTGGATGTAGGCCTACAGAGCACTTTGTAAATAGTTTGCAAAAGATGTACTTAATTTTGTTTAATATTAAGGATAATTTGCATAAAAAGAGTAAATCGACTAATATTTTTGGTGTATATAGCAGAGCTCATTTTTGCACAGCATTTTGGGAAGTGTAAAACGAAGCATAGTTATGCTGTACATCTATATCTCAGCATTGTAGTACCCCATGATCGTGTATATAACGTACCCAGAGTCCCTGTTCAGATGATTTTTAAAAGTAGACGAGAAAATGCTTCACTCGAATATGGTTCACTTTCCAGCACATTTTGAACAATTTAAGTCTTCACACCTGTACTACTCTCAATACCTTAATTAACTTGTGTATTTTGCACTACAGTCAGTGGTGGGCCAGCTGGTAGCATTCCGTGTCCACGCACCGTGTTCTGGGGCGCTACTGCTCGACATCTTCGCCAACGCTGTCACACCACGCGAGTACCTCACTGGGGAACCCATGAAGTTCAAGAGTGTGTGCAAGTTCAAGATAGTGTGCGAGGACCTCCAGACTGTCATGGTGCCCTTGCCGGACTGTGCCTCAGGAGAGTGGGGCCCCGCCAAAGCCACTCGACTTTTTGGTTTAGAGCCCGTCACTCACCAGGATGCTTTGGTCTTCGCCGGCCGTGACCTCGAGTTACAGTTCCGTATGACACGGCCTCTCACAGATTTCATGGCGACGCTCCACAAGAATGGCTCTGAGGAAAAGCGGCTCAGCAAGTACGTCAGCCATCGAGTTGCAGATGATGTGGTGACTTTCACGCTGAGCTTCCCAGAGGAGGGTCAGTATGGCATGGACATCTACACCCGCGAGGTGGCTGGGCCCGACACTGGAGGCCCCACGGAAAAGCATCTTCTCACACACTGCTGCAAGTACCTCATAAACTCTTCCAAGCGTAATTAGTGTGTGCGCTCTTTCCTCATCACCTGCTGCTGCTGGTCGACCTGGTCCTCACCTCCAGGCGTCACCAGGAATACCCGATTAAACTGCTGCTGTTGTATGCAAAATACACCATAACTTGTACTTAAAAATGTTACAAACTCCATGAACACTACACTCTTTACAGACCTGTGTAATAAATTAATGCAACACTACACTCCCTGGAACAGCAGCAGCAGGCAGCAGCAGGTCGTGCTGCAGTATCCGTCCACTAAGTGCCTTCAGGCAAGTTTATTAAGAATGTAACTGCTATTGGCTGACCAAGACTAGAGTCTGCGGTCTCCGTCATTTACTTACAACACTGTTTTAGATATTTTAACGATATGGAAAATATATTGTACATATAATTATTGCTACAGAGATCTTAACTTTTTATATAATTTGTATTGTTACCATGTTTCACAGGAAAGTAATAAGCATGCTTTTATTCCAAATACGTGGTTTGTGACGTTAACAGAAGTTATTTACAGACTAGACACTAAATCCTTGCAGGCGAGTTACAGTGGGTGCCTTAATGACCTTGGCTGAGCCCAGTGTCTGGGTGGTAATGGGGTCACACTGGCAGGGGGCACCACAACCTCGCCCACTTTCATCAGGGACCGATTATTTTTCTGTCTCTAACGATAATGGAAGAGGAGCTATGTTGGGTTTTCTCATGGAAGCCTCTTATTCGAAGGGTCTCTATCCACTTTCCTCCGGCAAAGAGGAAAACTGTGAAACTATGAAAGCACACAGTTGTGGTCACGTGCAATTATGGAAACAATTGTTACCTTACTCTGTGAGGTGACTTTCATAGTGTAATTCCTCCAGCAACCACAAGATTCACCTTTAAGAACAATGTGTGCTGTACACCAAGATGCAGGGCCACATGCTACTATAAATTTCCCATTTGTCGTTTAATGCTGCTGTGAAATTAAGAGCTGTTGCTGAGACTCCAACACGACAGCCCGGCACTAGAAGTGTTACTAGGTGGCAAAGTCTTCCATGAATATTCCATTTGCAGTATGATAACCATAGTAAGAATGATTGTCACAACGGTTATATTTTGATTAGCGTCGTGTGACAAGCGCATTTACGTACTAATCTTGAAAAGCATTTCGGTAATAATTTGTTAAACTCGTTACTTGAAATGTTATGAAGTAATTTATTTATTTGGCCTGCAATATTAACAAGACAGATGGCCTAAGTGTATTGTTTTCATTTTGGTGGTGTGCGTAATCCATTAGCAGGGGAACACAGGGGTGTAGTGTGTGCCGGTGTATACACGATGCGACTGGTGTATCATCTGTTGTTAACGAGGAAGTGAGGCGAGTGGTGGGTTGGTCACCTTTCATGAGCACATCTCTAGCTTCCCGACCTTCGCTGGTCAGAGTAGCAGACTGGCACACGAGATAATATTCAACTATTATTCCAAGCAAGTATCGCAAGGGCTTCCATTGCTTCAAGGTTGTGTTTAGGGTGAAAGCGCGTTGTTGACAAACGTGCAGTGCATGTCTGCCTGTCCAGATGATGACAACTTTACATATCTCCGTCTTGGTTGTGATGAAAGTGACAGAATGGGCCTGATGCACACTGCTGAATCCTCACCAGCGTAATACTGTACATTAATCTGGAACATTCCATAGAATAGTCCGGAGCATCACGCCTTTATTCTTCTCGTCCAGCTACGTTTTGGCGGGAACCATACATTGGCGAGAAAAGCTTTTTGGTAGGCGGTTATATTTTTTACACTTGCAAATTTTTAAATATAAATATATAATATTTTTTGGCGAATTTGTTTATAACGAGTGTTTTCCCTCTTCTCTTCAATCACCTCAACTTACATGCATTTCTCTCTCGTACAAATTAATATATGAAATGTAATATATTAATATAATGTGATTTACGTGTTGGCTGCCGTCCAAGTACGGCCATTCTTGTAACATACTTCCTCTGTTAATAAAGAACAGCACTGCTCCACACCTCTCTACTTCCCCACACTTGTACATGTGTGTTATGCTTGTGAACCCTATACCCGTCTTTGTGAACCCTATACCCGTCTTTTGGACGCCAGCGGAGCTCGGTCCTCTTCAATGGGTTCAGGAGCTTGTACCTAGTTCACTTTTACTCAAGTAATTTATTTATATGTATTCAATCCAAAATCTTGAAGGGATTGGCAGATGAACTGTTTACCACAAACTGTTGTTCAGAATATTTTTAGGGGAACCCTTTCCTTGGCCTAGATTAAAAAGACAGATTTTCAGCCCCCCCCCCCCCAAAAAAAAAAAAAAAAAAAAAATCCCCACGAGTCAGTTTACCCTCACAAATCTGCAAGCTTACGAAGGAAATCATTCACCACCTATTTGTGCATGATTACAAAATCATTTTTTTTTTCAAACAAAATACTTTCCTAACAAACCTGCTCACAATGTAACAACTACTCTGGCAAAGGACTTCCAGTAGATTAGACAAGTCAAAGTACATTACAAGGTTTTGACAAGGCACCGCATAAGAGAGCGGCACAAAGTGCAAACACACACAATAAATGGTAAATACCAGAGTGGATAAAACAAAGAAAACAAAGGGAAATGAATTGGGACATGTGGAGAGTGAAGAACCGCAAGGTTCCATGTCCGTGGCAACCCCTTTTGTCATTTGTCGTTGATGTCCTACAAACTACATCAACATTTCGTATGACGACACAAAGATACCGTAAAATAGTACGCGAAAAGTATATTAAGATCTTGCAAAGTGATCAACATAAACTCCACGAATTCCCTGGAAACACAAAACGAAACTGTCTCTATTTTCCGCTTGTTACAAGTTGTAATAAAGTTGTTTCATCTTAGCTTAACGTGCGTATGACGTATTAGAACGTTGTGACAACTTGCTATATTGGTTATTATAACTGGTTAGGAGGTGTTAAAACTTGTTCGAACGTTGTACCAACGTCGCAGTTTCGGTGTGTGTTTGGCGGGTTGTCATAAGACTGACAAATGCATTTAAATATTTAAAACCACAAGGCCTTGCATGTAGGTCATAACAATACAAATAATACCCATAAACACTATCATGTCGCAGATTGATAAAAAGTACCGACGAGTCGAGTTCTACCACTCATTAAAAGTTGCACAAGTGGGAGCGGCTGGGAGCGCCTGTGGTGCGCCTCCATCTGAAATATTGTATGCAACCATAGACCATCTTCAAAAGACCAGCTGGTTCGGAGAATTTTAAACGCAGACACAAAAACCCTCGCAGAATGAATTGAAGTGTTATACCATGAACGTTAATGGCCTACAGCTCTAACCATGTAACATGTTAGTAACATGTAGTAGTAACATGTAGTAATAACACGTAGACATGTAATAACATGTAGACATGTCTACTTGTTATTACTGATCTCAGAGACTTAATACTGAACAAACTGGAAAATATTAATCCAGACATTTTTAAACGGTCACATGAGACACACAAGGGCCAATGGCTTCAAGCTCAACACATTACAATGTAGGACAGAACACAGGAAATGCTTTTTCACCCACAGGGTTATAAACCCATGGAACCGCCTACCCGCTGAAGCTGTAAATGCCATGACATTACGGCAGTTCAATATTCAGCTGGAAAATATTCTCAGGAATAATGGGGGATCCTTGACAAGCCTCTGGCTTCATGTCCCCGTCGAGACCACTAGATATGGTGGCCCTCGGGTAAATTCAGACACCTATTATGCACCCCACACCTATCCCGTGGGTGGTGGTGAGAAGGCTAGTCACAAGGGATGCACTACCTACAGGAGACACCTCGGTATTCAACCCATCATCCTGCTTAAATAGCAATTTTTGTAACTATGTGTACCATAGTACAACCATTGACGTACTAAGGAATTACAAAGTAGAATTTTGTACTATTCAGTTTATAGAGGCCGAAAAAATTAAGCTAAAAAACAAACTTAAATATTCCCTGGCCTAGTATAGTGCACACATGTGCTATATTAGGCCTCAGATAGTGTGTATTAGGCCTAGGAAGGTTAGGTTTGTCTTTGCAAAATAAATATAAAAGTTTTTCCGGTCTGGCTAAATTCAATGTTTACTTTCTAATTGTGTTAAACGTGGGTATATGTACTGTGGTCCCCATCGTTACTAGGTGCTGCCAGTACAGGAGGGGGGACTGCGGTCTCTCACATTTTGGGTCATGCTTATTAGTTAATCTTTAACTAATTTTATTGATGTTTATAAGCCGTTATAGGGAGCCGGTCGGCCGAGCGGACAGCACACTGTACTTGTGATCCTGTGGTCCCGGGTTCGATCCCGGGCGCCGGCGAGAAACAATGGGCAGTTTCTTTCACCCTATGCCCCTGTTACCTAGCAGTAAAATAGGTACCTGGGTGTTAGTCAGCTGTCACGGGCTGCTTCCTAGGGGTGGAGGCCTGGTCGAGGACCGGGCCGCGGGGACACTAAAGCCCCGAAATCATCTCAATATAACCTCAAGAAGCCTACAAGTTTCCAACAGGGTTTTAATATAAAATAAAATAATAAATAAGGTCTCTTAGTAGAGTTAGCTTCGTTCTCGACTCACAATCGGGGATCCTGGGTGGGACAGAAATGGTTAGACACGTTTTCTTTTACCTAATGCCTCTGTTCACCTAGTAGGAGCTAGGTACCCCGAGAGTTGGGCAACTGTTGTGGGGTTCACGTTACACAGTGCAACCTGCATAAACTATCTCAAATATTCTTCGACATAGTAATTGGGAATCTATAATATCTAGTGTCCCCAACGTACATAAAATAGTCAAGTGGAAACACAATCGAGCCGATGTTTCTGGTCATATTCTACTTACAAAATATATTGTAGAAAGATAATCTGCAACAATTAATATAAACCTATCAAAAACAATTCCTATAACAGATGATTTTAAAGTTAAAAAAGCATGAGAAACCGACGGAAACTGCTCTCTAAGATGCAGGGATCCGACCAACACTCAACATAATTGCTGATGACTGAACTACACTAGCCTCAACAGGCTCTAGAAGTTAATGAATTCAATAACTTTTCATAAATTGTGGTCATCCTTTAACCTGACAGAAATATTCCAATGTTGTTACATATATAAAAAAAAATGTGTAGGGATAAGTATGATATCAGTTGCCATTCTCTCAGGTTTCGTCTCATAACACATGCACAAAGAGCCGACAATACTAGTGAACCTACCTACCTTGAGGCTACCTTGAGGTGCTTCCGGGGCTTAGTGTCCCCGCGGCCCGGTCGTCGACCAGGCCTCCTGGTTGCTGGACTGAAACGCCAACCATTAACACAAACGCTGGCCTAGTACGTACAGAAATATTGCTTAACTTCAATAATTCCCCATAACCTCAAACGCTCCCAAATATATTAAAATAAGCATAAATATCACCATTAGGCTTACCCGACAGGTGCGCCATCACACGAGAGATAAACAAAGTAAGCGGGTGGAGGGAATTCGGTCCAAGATTATAACGAGCTGACCAGTGAACTGGTCTGCCACTGAAACCTTTCTTTGGTCTGTGGACAAGGAGAAGCTAAGAGATGATGATGTAGATTACTAATGGCCTAGCGAGGGGGGGGGGGGTGTGAGAGGAAGAGGGTGAGGGAGAGGACAGGCAGAAAACACGGAGTGTCGGGCGGCGAGGTCTGGCTGGCCACTCGCCGTGCACAACACCCACAGACGAATGCAAATTTGTGGTTAACATGGAGCTTTTTTTTTTTAGTGAGCGGGGCTCTCTCCGGCCCACTGACTCCAGAGTGATTTTTTAGGGAATTTGTGAAAAGGTGGGGGGGGGGGAAGAAAAAATATATATATATTGACATGTATATATATGTGATCGAGGCATATAACTTTGGGGCAATTTTTGTCCACAGCGAGATCAAAATCCACTCTGTTAACATATATATGAGATGCGTGTGATGACGCACAGCTTCACAAGAACATTTCGGGGAGAAATATTGACAAAATTCACATATTTATATTGGCTACTGACATCCGTTTGTTAATCTACAATGTCTAGTGGGTTTTGGCATATATTGGCTAGCCATGAATTTACAGTGCTGGGAAAAACATATTACAAAAAACACTATTTGGGCTCAAACTCACGGCCTGACGAAGGAAGCTGTGATGGCTGGCCTGCCTGACACTCTACTTGGTGGATCTCCAACTTCGAATTCTTTTGTGTTTCGAAGTTAATATTAATGTTAAGGTAATGTTAAGTGACGCATTCATGATTTTGAGGTTGCGAGTTCAAGCCAACTGATGATATTTGTAATATGTAACATATATAAATGTAATTATCCCAATTATGGTAAAATGGGAAGGGACCCACTTCCCACATAATATGCAAAGGAAGATGTCAATGCCATCTATGCCATGAGATCTACTTGAACACCACAAAGTCGTAAAACTGGCAAATGATTTTTAATATTGAAAAATTCAAGACCTTGCATTTGGGGCATAGCAATGCACTTCCCAACCACCAAATTATCATTACCTTGCAGTAGAGTGATGAAGAACCTTAGAGTCAGAATCATTCACTGACAGTTGCACAAGTGGGAGCTGCAGTACAAAAATGTTGACCAAACGTTAGTCATTATCAAGCGAACCTATGACTAAGGGAAAAAAAGGTAGTTATTCAATCTCTGGTGAACTCCCATGTGGACTACTGTATCCAAGCATGAAGATATCTTCAGGATATAGCTGCTTTGAAGAACGGTCAACACCGGGCAACAAAAAACATTCCAGAACTAAATCGACTCCTACAGGGAACGGTTGAGGGCCACAGGGCTAACACGGCAAACCAAACATGACAAGGGTGATCTCACTGAAATTTAAAATACTGAACAACTTGGAGGACATTTATCCAGACCTCTTCAAAAGGTCAGATGTAACACACACAAGAAGCAACAGTTTCAAGCTCAACAAGCCACAATGTAGGACTGAAAACAGGAGATGC